AAAAAAAAAAAAAAAAAATCTTGCTAAAGCACCCAATGTCACTAATCATCAGGGAAATGCAAATCAAAATCTTGATGAGATGGCACTCATCCCAGGTAGGATGGCCATTTTCAAAAAAAAAAAACAAAAGAAAACAAGTGTTGGCGAGAATGTGGAGAAAAGGGAATCCCCTCATATGCTGTTGGTGGAAATATAAACTGGTGCAGCCACTGTGGAAAACAGTAGTGTTCCTCAAAAAATTAAAAATAGAATGTCCATACGATCCAGCAATCCCACTTCAGGGTATATATCCAGATCAACTAAAGCCAGGATCTCAAAGAGATGGCGGCACTGGCATTTTCACTGCAGCATTATCACAACAGCTAAGCCATGGAAGCAACCTAAACATCCATCAATGGACGAACAGATGAGGAAAATGTGGTGTACACATACAATGAAATATTATTCAGTCTTAAAATGGAAATCCTACCATTTGTGACAACATGGATGAGTCTAGAGTACCTTATGCTAAGTATAAGGCAGGCACAAAAAGACAAATTTCATATGATATCACTTATATGATGAATCTAAAATAGTTAGAGAAGCTGAGAGTAGAATGCTAGCTGTCACGAACTGGAAGGAGGGAAAAATGAGGAGGTATTAGCCAAACGATATAAAGTTTCAGTTATGCAAGATAAGTTCTAGAGATCAACAGTACAGCATAGTGGCTATAGCTAATAATACAGTATTGTGTACTTACAAATTTGCTAAGAGGGTAGATCTTATGTTAAGTGTTCTTATCACAAAGTAATAATGAATGAAGTGGGCAGGAGGAAACTTTGGAGATGATAGACATGTTCATGGAATAGACTGTTGTGATGGTTTCATGGATATATACTTATCTCAAAACTCATCAAGTTGTATACATTAAATATGTACAGCTTTTAACATGTCCATCAGTCACACCTAAATAAAGTAGCTTTAAAAAATCCATGCTATAATAATTTGATAACTTTGTACATTACAAACTACTTTCTTTGATCATTTTTCTCTATTTTTATTTCTAATTGTCTACAACTCTTTCATAATTATTTGTTAAGCTACAATCAATATATTAAAATAAAGACATGCTGATAAACTTCAAGCAAATAAGAGTGTACCTCAGTGAAGTGCTACTATTTGCAGTAGTTTCCACACCAGTACTGATCTCTGTCATCAGCTCTGAGAGGGGAAAGTTTTCTGGAAGAAAATGACAGCATTACAATTAATATCTCCCCCATTTTCCCAAACAGATAATAGGAAAACTAATTTTCTAATCTCTTTATGTAAATGAGTGGCAAATAGGACTGTACTGTCCTGAAATATCATCTTAATTAGTTTCTACAAATTAAAAAATTCTCCTTCAAGACATTTTTTAGCTAATTTCATCTAAAGCAAAGAGTTTTTAGAAAAATATGTTCTGTGGTCTTTGAGGGCTTGGTTAAAAAGTAACTATCACACTTTCCCACAAACTCTGGGCTGTATGGGATTCTACACAAAGTATACATTTCTAATGCTCTAACGTTGCCTACGTAAAAATCATAAAAAACTTACCCAGAGCATAATTCTTAAGGACAAATTAAGCTTTATACTAAAACAAGGCAGAAGGTGAAGAGGGGGTAAGTGAAGTGCTTGCCCTTCCCCTTTCCAAAGGTCCTGGGATGACTGAGACCAATTGGCAACAAACCACTGATTGTGATGCCAACATGAATAGCCAAAAGCTTTGTATCTATTAGTCTCATCAAATCTTCACAACTATGAAAAAAGTACCAGGATTTAACAGAGGAGTAATCTAAGGCTTAAAGAAACTGAGTGGTTGGAGCTGGGGGCAAACCCAGGCTTGCTGAGCTCCAGGACTAGCTCCTGGCCACCACACCATGCTTATGTGCCCATTCCTGTAGACATTTAACAAGTCATTGTCATTTTATTTATGGACAGAGTCCTCATACAGTACCTATATCATCATAGCGCTCCACCCAGACTACAGAAACTCTTGTCTCAGGTCCAAGGGGAGGAACAGGGCGACCCTGAGGCAGCTTCCTCAATCTGGAACTGGGACTGAGCTGTATGGAAAGGAAGACGGAGAGCGGGAAAAAATAACAACAACAACAACAACAACAAAACTGGCTTAATAAAACCACCCAGTCATTCATTTATCAAGATGCTCAGTGATACAAGTATCAGGTCATGGAAAAATCACTTTAGGAAAAAGTGTATACATTTGCAACAAAGCTCTTCTTTGGCTCCTGTTCATCAGTCTTAACCTAGGACAAGAAAATGAAGGCTTAAAATTGTCAAAGGAAAAAAATGAAAGGAATACTGAATAATTATAATTTGCATTAATAAAAACAAAATTTACACACAGTATCTTAATGAGGGCTTAAAGGATCTGAGTCTGTCTCTACTAGGGCCAGAGAGCCGTATGCTTCCCCATCACAGCAACATCACCACTTGCCTGGGGATCCTAATCTCTAAAATGTCCCTTAAGCAAGTTATTCCTAGTTCCCAGACTAAATGTCTTCTACTGCAATCTATGCCTAATTCCTTTTTCTCGTCAGTAGAAAGAAAAATAGAGTTGTTCAGGCCTTTGTTACCATGCAGTGTGCTTCTGGCTTCCCGCCATCCTAATCAACTCAAAGTTTCACTATAAGGCCCACAGGACTATGCGGCTCTCCTTTAGCAAACTGGAACTCTGAGCTGCACCTCTTAGCAGAGCTAAGTTTAGGCTAAAGTCCTAATCAGAACTTATGTGTACAGAGGGGAGAATCTCATACTTTAGGTGAATTTTAAAATTAAAACTGCTTTATTAGCACAGAAATAAACATGTCTTTACCAGATGACCAGACTCCATGACGAGTCCCCAGATGCTTTTATCTACTCTGACAGTCACAGAAAATGGCAGGAGCAAGAGATTTCTCCCAAACTAGTGACAGACCTCGGGCCACATTCACAGACTACTTTCTTAGCATCAAAACTCCTAATCAGCTTTGACTTTCTGACTTCTTCCATCTCTGACCTCTAACCCAAGACTTAAAGAGCTCCTGTGATTAGGTCAGGTCTACCTGGAAAATCTCCCTTTTGATTAAGTCAAAATGACCTAATTAAACCCACAGAATTCCTTTGCCAAATAATGTACCATAATCGTGGATATCTTATCATAGTCACAGGAGAGGACATTATACACAGGCAAAGGTCACGGGGGATTATCTTAAAATTTTACCCAACACCCTGACTTTTTTCCTACAATCTTGCTAAACTCACCTCAACAGTTCTAGCGGATTTGAAAAAAAGATTCCTCAGGGTTTTCTACTTACATGATCATGTCATCTGCAAATACATACAGTTTCACCTCTTTGTTTCTAATCTTTATGTACTGTAGCTCCTTTTGTCTTATTTCTCTGTGTAGGCCCTCCTCTACCATGTTGAATGGAAGTGGTGAAAACAGACATCCTTGCCTGGTCCTCCATCTCAGAAGAAAAGCATTCAAGAATAATGTATAATGTGTAAGTATAATCCTAAGCTATAGGTTTTAAGTAGATGCTCTGTATCCACTTGAGAAAGTTCTATTCATAGTTGGCTGAGAACTTTTCTCATAAACGAGTATTGAATTTTTGTCAACTACTTTTTCCCCAATCTACTGAGATAACCATATGATTTTTCTTTTTTCTCTTTTTTAGTTTGTTAAGTGTCTGAAAACTATAGTATAAGTGAGAAATAAAAACATGGTCTTTTATCTGGATTCTGAGGAATAACTATGCTGTCATTCAGAAAATGAGTATAAAGGCAGCTAATCACTGAATACTAGATCTGTCCACAAACAAATCTCAAATAAAAAAAATTTTTAAGTATTAGATTTAGCTAAAATATTGCATTGCCATGCAATACTGACTGCTCATCTCTAAACTGTATTTTGTACAAACCTTTTAAAAACTCCTAATTTTCAAATCAGTCTACTCCAGGGACTATTACACCACCTGGCATTTTTTTCCTAAATCAATTTTAAAGGTAAAAACTTCCCTGTATTCTCTTTGAGGCATATACTTACATTAAAAATAATTTTCACTTTGGAAGAAAGCCAACCTAAAATCCTGCACAATGGAGGAACACCTTTAATCAAGCTGACACTTCCGTCTTTGTTATGATTTGTTCTAAGTCAATCTTCCTACACTTCTGACCTGATCCTGTACTTTTGCTATCACTTATGGGTATCCTTTTCAGTAAAGATGAAGAGACAACATGAGGGTAAACCACAGATAAAGAAGTAACAGTCGATAAGGTCAGAAAAAAGATATAAGCAAAAAGCTCTTCTTGTAGCAGAAGCTGTGTTCCTCACTCAGAATATCTATCCACATACTGAGTTATTCTCCAAAATGTTCCTATTTTTATATGGTCAGACTTGTTTAAGATGAACATTATAAGATTAAAGACAAAAAAACCACGTAGTTACTACAATAACTTTAGCGGATATTCAGGGACAAATTTTAAACCTAGGCTTAAAAAGGAACAGGTGAGAGAGACGGGACCAGAATGGTGAAATCAAGAGAAACTACAAAGGTTGTCTCAGAATGAACTATTTGTTGCAGGCTGAAAAAGAGAAAAAATTGTGAGAATTTTATTTTAAAAAATTACGTTACTAAGGAATCAGTACTCTAATATAATTACTCTCTGGGTTAAAGTTAAAAGCTTTCCAGGCAAGATTCTTTAATTACCCCCATTCCACTACAAAATTTTGGAGACATATCAGCAAAGTAACTTACCCTCTGTGAGGAATTAAGATTGTCTGTATGATTGGGGAAAAGCTCAAGTGTCAGGGATGGCTGTTTCAGAATTCCTGGCATAAGATCCATATTTGAATCACTATCTTGGTCTGAGATGTTACTTTCCAATGAATCAGCTACAGGGTAAATGAAAAAAGCAACTATAATACATATCACTTATTTGGAGCAAGAGTGTTAAAACTAATTATGCTCACCAGTCTCACTTAAGTCACTTAAAGCATTGCTTCTAGAGCAAGAGCTGATGAACTTCAGTATTTTAGGCTTTGCTGGCCATACAGATCTCTTGCATATTCTTCTTTGTATTTTATTTGTAACCCTTTAAGAATGTAAAATCCATTCTTGGCTGCATTTGGCTTGTGCCACTATAGTTTGCCAGCTCCTGCTCTACAGATAACTAAAATAAGACTAGAAAATATTTGACTTTTCAGATGTGGAATGTAATAAATGCCATTATTACTCTCTGAAATATTTTGATTACACATTCAATCACGTAGCATTGTGCCAAATAGGCACTGAGACATCCAGAAGCTACAGCAGACCGAGTTTCTGTGATTAACAGCAATCTGGTTGGAGATAAGCACACAGGAAGTTATCCTCTACCCCATCCAAAAACAAAAACAAAAAACACCAAACCCCAAGTATCAGAAATAGGAGGAAGCTGAACTGGTGCTGGAGTGGGCACATTTGGCATAGGGGATGTTTCACAACAGAAGACAAAGACCCAATTGCAGGAGCTACAGTGAAAGGACAAGGCTCTAGCTCTGGGAGGACTTGTCTGGTACTAACAGGCTAGGCCAGAGAAACCAGGCAGGTATGTCCTCAAAGAGGAAGGACAGGTTCTGGCTTCTGGAATTATAGTAGTAAACCAAAACTTTGACAGGAAGCCCAGTAGCTGCTATAATACAAATCTAAACCATGGAAGGTCCAACCTTCCAGGGATACAGCTGGCCCCAGAGAGTAAGACAGGGAGGGGCCTAGAGTGAGAAATCAAGGGTCAAAGTACAAAGGTTAGGAAGCTACCAAGGTAGGGCACAACAAAAGTCATTAGTCTGGAGATGAGACTGTGAAATCCTGATGTATTGTATTCCATCCTACAAATGATCTCAAAGAAGAAGCTGAAGTTTTCTACCTACTGCCTGACCACCTGCTTGGTCAGACATGAAGAAACAGCCTTAATTTGCAAAAAGCAAAGGTTCTGGGCAAAACAAAACTGTGAGTTCAGACTAAGAAGTAATAATCACTCCCAATCCTTAAAAAGCAAATTCTTGACCACCATCTTTTCTAGGCTACTTAAAAGTTTCTCTTGCTCAGTGTTAGAAGAATGGCCAGATGCTATCATGAGATCCTTCTAAGTTGTAGGATTCTATGTGGTTCCATGCAAAGGCTCTCATATGGAAATAGAGAGTAGGTGGGGGATCACTCGTAATTGGAGAAAGAAATGAACTGGAAAATAAGACTATGTATTGATTAAACTAATTAAAGAATGCAAAATATGGGTTGAAGTGGGATTCCTTCACTATTTAAAGATTATTAGAGGGTCAGTTTGCTTGTCTTTAACTACTTTCTGTAAGAAACTTAAGAGAAGATATCTTGTACTTCTGCATAATCTGTTATAATGCCTTAGAAGCTAGAGAATGCCTCAGATCACTTCAAAATCTCTTCCAATGCAGTAATATCCCACAACCCAGGAATATAAAAATAGATCCTAAAATAGGACCATGCAGAAAATGCTCTTACTTAAGGACTCCACAGGAGAAGGAACCACAAAAGCTATTTCCGTAAGGGCATCAGCATAATACAGCACCTTCTTCTGTCCATTGAAAATGCTAGCTCCAATATCTTCAGAGGGAATCACTTCTTCTAGGAAAAAGAAACTACATTACTGCTTCAAAAAGTAGAAAAAAACCAGTATCATCTTGCTACATGAAATGTTAACTGGCTAATAAAGTGATAAATAAAACATATGTTTCCAACAAGAAGCAATTAGTGTGAAAGAAAATATAATGCTTATTAAATGTCTTTATTTTTAAATCAAAAAATCTTAATTTCATCATTTCTGAAACAGCTATATATCAGACCATTTCTGATTAGCAGGGCTTTTAATTTATGAGGCAGATTAAGGGACCAGTCCTTTGGATCAGGTAGATAAATAATCAAAAGGAAGACCAGCCCAGTCCCTCAGAAGGGAGCTGGGCCAGAGAGGCAAGCAGGCAGAGGCAGAGGCAGAGAGAGAGAAGAGGGAAGAAAGGAGAAAGAAGAAAGAAGCAGCAGCAGCAGCAGCAGCAGCAGCAGAAGCAGCAGGAGGAAGGTGAAGGGGAGGGGAAGGGAGAGAGAGGGAGGAGAGAGAGAGTGCCCATGTGCATGTGGTCTCTGGACTCTTGCTTTCAAGGCATTTCTATCCCTGGTCTCTCTCTATGGCTCCTCATATTGGCCTATGCTCCACCTTCCTCAATGGTCAGTGACATTGTATAAAAACGTACAGGCAGTTTTGGTAATAGTATCTGCTCTAGGCTAGGAAGACTGAATAAACAAAAGAAATGCTCATGAGAGCTATATAGTTCTCAATTAAAATGAACTCAGTGTCCTACCAGTAATACATAAAAGACCAACAATCTGACCAAAATTGGGCAGGGAAATGAGCCAGTACTTCTCAGGAAATAAAAATATGATAAGATATGCTCAACCATTATTGAAAGTTAAAAATTTCTCACCTAAAAATCTGGAAGATACTTAATGCTGGTGAAGGTACGGCAAATAGAAAGCTTAAACCAGAGGTTAGCAAACTTTTTCTGTAAAGGACCATACAGTTAATGTTTTAGGTGTGGTAGGAAGGTCTTTGCCACAGCTACTCAATTCTGCCATTGTAGCATGAAAGCTGTTGTCATAGACAATGTGTAAAATGGAGTGTGATCGAGTTCCAATAAAACTTTATTTACAAAAACAGGAATGAGCTTTAGTTTTCTGACTCCTAGTGTGGACTCCAGGCAGGCACTTTATATCTGCTGTAGCAGACGCTGTGGTCACTATCCCAACAGCCACTCTATTCACCCCTGTTCTGCAGCAGGCAAGATGTGCAGGTGGGACTGATCCAATACTAGTTCTATCCTGTCTGTATCTCTCCACCAGAGTCATTCTATCTTTCTTGCCATAAGGACAGGCTTGGGATAGTCCAATTGCTATGTAGTTCTGGATTTGGGGAGGAGGGGGTTCTGAGATCTAGCTAATCTATCCTCTTCAGGCTGCTGTGGTATGTGGATGTAAAGTCTGGAATTGCCTTTCTGCGCTATTAGAGAAGCCAAGCTGGGGAAAAGTCAAAATACAGAGAGCAAAGCTAAAGGAAAGTTGAAAGAAATAAAACAGGAATGCTGATCAAATGACACCAAAAACTTAACTAACCTCTGGAATTTTCAGTTACATGGGCAATAAATAACCTTCAAAATCTAAGGCAGTTTGGGTCATGTTTTCTGATACTTGCAACCATAAGTATCCAACTGACATACTTATCAAAATGAAAAACGTGCACTGGACATAGGCATTAACCACTTTAGAGAAGTAATATTAATTTTCCAGTGACCTCAGGAACCCAGGAACAGAAAGCATTAGCCAGCTGGGGCAAAGGTCTTAAGTTTAAATTTATACTTCCTCTGGTATGTGTTATACTGATTAGTTTCTCAGAATGGGCAAAAATTCTCAGAGATGATTAGCTGTTTACCACAAAGGTTTTGGTATAATATTCCAAGAATGTAACCTTTAAATGTGACTCTTTTGACAGCCACAGTTGATAAAACAGACTGGTTAATAGAAAACTACTTATTAGACAAAACATGCTTGTTAGGAAGCTGTATCGTTTTGTATGGATGACCGATATTTATTACAGCATTTGTATAGAAAACTGAATCTTACTCATATTACAAAAAAGGAAATTATCAGCATGGTAATAAGCCAGTCATTTTGTGTTAATTAACTCTATCATTACGTGTATATGTATCTTTCATACACACTGAAAATGTCTAGAAGAATATATAAACTATTATTAAGTTACCCTATCAGGACTGGGATTAGGGTAAGGATCATTTTCCTTTATGTACTTCTATTTGTCTGTTTGGTTTTTTGCTTTTTAGACAGGGAGTTGCTCTGTCACCCAGGCTGGAATGCGGTGGCATGATCATAGCTCCAGCTCCTGGCCCCAAGTGATCTTCCCACCTCAGCTTCCTGAGCAGGTAGGACTACAAGTGCATGCCCCCTCAAGCCTAGCAAATGTTTCCATTTTTTGCAGAGATGGTGCCTCGCTATGTTGCCCAGGCTGCTCTTGAACTCCCAGCCTCAGCCAATCTTCCCACCTTGGCTTTCCAAAGACAGGCATAAGCCACTGTACCGAGGCTGGTTTTGTGTTTTTAACAAGACTATAAATCATAGTAAAGGGGGGAAATAATCAAGACTAACAAAACAAGAGACAATTGACATATGAAACATTGTGAGTTTTACCTTGTTGAGATCCTTCACCATCATCACAACAATTAATAGACCAACTGGTGGAAACATGCCCAGTCCAACCAGGGTGTCTGCCCACATCAACTGACCAGCCAAGGGAAAGCAAAAATTCTAGGAAATGGGGCTGAACAGTTCTGGAAGACTCCACATTCTTTAAAATCTGAAATACATACCAATCATCAGCTATAATGAAGGAAACAAAAGAACATATCAAAATAAATCTTCATAAAAATTGGTTAGCCTTTGAAGCTTCTGACAAATCATGTCCAAGCTCAGCATAAACTTAAGGATATATCGCTATAGAGAAAAATGCATTCTGATTTAGACAGATTTGGATTGGCTGAGACTTGGGCAAGTTTTTTAACCCCACTGCCTCAGTTTCTTAATTCATAAAGTGGAGATAATAATAATGGTTGTGAAGTAATGCAAGTAAAGCTCTGAGCTCTCTTCCTGGCAAAACAATTACTGAACGAGGCATGTTTACTAACAGACACTGTGTCCCTGCCTTCACAGAGTTTACTGTCTGGTTAGTGAAAAATATTACACAGGTATGCAATTACTTAATTATAGATCTTGAAAAATGCTATAAAACCTACTAAAATTCAATAAACATGTGTAATTAATAAATGGGTATGAAAATATCCTTTTCTTAGGCCAAAGAAGAGAATTCCAGGAAAAATGAAGTGACCAGAAAGTTCTCTCCTCTTCACTAAGCACTAATGTAATGTGTGGGCTTTCGATAGGCCTCACCAAGAGTCCCTCATTCTAAAACAGTGATTCTCATCTGGGGTGATTTTACTCTTCAGTGGACATCCAACACTTGGAGACATTTTTGGTTGTCATAACTGGTGAGGCACACTACAAATATCTTGTGGTAGAGGCCAAAGATGCTGCTAAATATTCTAAAATACACAGGACAGTCCCCACAACAAAGAACTTATCCGGCCCAAGATGGCAATAGTGCTGCTCTTGAAAAATTCACTTCTAAAGAAAGGAAAACAAGGAATTCCTTTCCAAATTAAAAACGAAAGGGGGAGGGTTGGAGAGCAGGGTATATCAAAATCATCTGGGAAACCTCCTAAAAATAAGGTTCTCTTCGCCTGCTCTAGACCTTCTACACTAAAATCAGTGAAGGCAGAATCCTGGAATCACTATTTCTAAAAATTCCTCCAAATGACTGTGATGCAGCCAGTCCACAGATCACTGATGTCATTCACACAATGCTAATCTATGCCAAGATCCTACAGAGGCCTGTGAAAGTCAAAATATAGGAAGCTACATCCATTGCATCTAAACCCACTGCAAGTCATTGCAAGGTCATCACCTCTTAAACACAAAACCAGTCTCTTTAGACGTGAACCCATGTAGTTTACCCATATCCCTTCATATTCTTATGAGTGCCAAGAAACTGACTTAACAACCACTTCTAGTTATTGCAATTCAAATTTTCACCTAGAAGTAATACTTTTAAATAAACAATTTCTGAAAATTTAGTCAAGAAGCAATAAGTGAATCAAATGCAACTTGCGTGCCACTTGCTGGCAGCCAGAAATTAATCTTAATCTACCCTGTGGCTAGGGAAGGCAGGTCTGAGACATTCCAAAGGAGGTCTCAGGAAATATTCCTTGATTCCTAGTCACCCTCAGCTTCTAAAAACCTAAGGAAACTGAACTGGGTTAAGAAGTGCCTCAAGGGTTTATGTCTTCTTCTTGTACAGGTAGGAGAAAAGTGGCTTCATTATTCTCATACAAACAATGCACTGACTTACTTCAAAACAGATTCCCAATCTCTATAATTAATCCAATTTTACTGAGGTTCAGCATGGTAATAAGCCAGTCATTTTGCCACCAATAGTTCATAAACTAATCTAACAGTGCTTGACATGATAGCTCATACCCTACAGTTCAATATTTTTTATCCACTCACTAATCAATGTTATTTCTGTAAACCAATGAGAATTCCTAAAAAACTTTTGTTCTGCTCTACTGACTCACCCTTTTTATCTTTAAACACGTGAGCCCCTCCTTTGTTCCTGGAAGCACTCTCCAGCATTTCCCAGGCTGCAGTCCTCAATTTTGGCTCAAACTCTCCATATTAATTTTGCCTCATTTATTTTCTTTAGATGTATAAATTTATAGCACAAAAAATTACCAAAAAATAATTTCATAATTCTTACCTCTTGGTTCGTTTTCTGACCTGGCTTCATATAGAAAATAAAAACTGTGTCAAAAGGACGACATGGCAAGAGATCCAGATACCCAATGTCATCAAAAAACCCCGGTATCGTGGAATCAAGTGCAATAAGGTGAGGAGGTAGACGACTATTTGGAGGTTCCTGCCACCAAAAGTAGAAAGGAGCAATTACTACCTATTTTCACTGTTGTAATTATAAAAACAGTACTTGCTCATGGTTTAATAAAAATTAAATTTAAAAATACAGAATGGTAGGAATAAACACAACCATAATCTTCAAGAAATTATTTAACATATTTCCTTTTAGTTCTTTTATTTGCCTTTTTTAAAATTAAAGACAACTGAGATTATATGTGTATATAAATTTGAATCCTGTTTTCTCTATAATATTGTGCTTTCCAGAACTTACTTTTAATATACGTTTTTTCTCATTCATGGTCTAGCTACTTTGGAAGACGGTTTGGCCGTTTCTTACAAAGCCAAACATAGGCTTACCATGCAATGCAGTAACTGCACACCTTGGTATTTTCCCACATACATCCACACAAAAGCATGCACACAAATGTTTACAGCAGTTTTATTCATAATAACCAAAATGTACAAGCAACCAAGATGTTTTTCTTTTTTTTTTTTTGAGACGGAGTTTCGCTTGTTACCCAGGCTGGAGTGCAATGGCACGATCTCGGCTCACCGCAACCTCCGCCTCCTGGGTTCAGGCAATTCTCCTGCCTCAGCCGCCTGAGTAGCTGGGATTACAGGCACGTGCCACCATGCCCAGCTAATTTTTTGTAGTTTTAGTAGAGACGGGTTTCACCATGTTGACCAGGATGGTCTCGATCTCTTGACCTCATGATCCACCCGCCTCGGCCTCCCAAAGTGCTGGGATTACAGGCGTGAGCCACCGCGCCCGGCCCCAAGATGTTTTTCAATAGGTGAATGGATAAATCAACTGTGGTACATCCATACAATGGAGTACTATTCAGCAATAAAGAGAAATAAACCATCGAGTCAAAAAGACATATGAAGGAACCTTAAATGCATATTGATAAAAGTGAAAAAAGCCAGTGTGACAGGACTACATACTGTATGATTCCAAATATATGACATTCTGAAAAAGGTACAACTATAGAGAAACGGTACAAAGACCAGTGGTTGATATGGGTTGAGTGGGGAGTGAGGAGGGAGGGATGAAGAGGTGGAGTAAAGTGGATTTTTAGGGCAGTAAAACAATTTGTATAACACTGTAATGATGGACACATGTCATTACACACTTGTCAAACCCCAGAGACCTGTACAGCACAGAGTGAACCCTATTATAAATCACCAACTTCAGTCAGCAACGCACCAACATAGGTTCATCAATCATAACAAATACATCATATCAATGCAAGGTGTTGGTAACGGGAAACTGGGCTGTGGGGAAGGTGTATGACAGCTCTACCCTTTCTGCCAATTGTTCTGAAAACCTAAATCTTCTCTAACACAATTAAGTCTACAAATTTTTCAAAAATGCATTTTTGTTTTGTTTTCCTCTTAAACCCCTATCTTCTTTGAGATCTTGATCTTGCCAAACAAGGTTTTGCTAACCACAGTGTCTTTTAGGAAAGCATCCTCCAGAGAAAGCAAGAATGATTGTCTTTCACACTGGCAAGGATTGTGAGCCTAGTCTTCTAGTCAATTACATAACATTCCTAGCAAGGTTTATGGCAATATTCTATAAAAGACATTAATATTTCTGCAGTCAAACCGAAGTGTATTCACACTAAGTGACATAAAATTGCAAATGGCCTTATGTCAGTTTAGGTCCAACTTTGCCACTAAGTGAATTTACTACAAATATATAAAAAATTTTCCAGTTTTCAGTTTTTACTGTGAAATCATGGATAAGGAATTGTGGACCTCAAGCATGCTGCAATACACCTTATAGGCCAGAATATCCTCATCTTTTTTTTTTTTTTTAAATAAGGTATTTCCTCAGCTTGTTCTTCTGTATGATCTTCTAATCCAGGAATATAACATACACATATTTTGTATCTCTTAATAATTTTTAAAAGTTTCCTCCTCTAGGTCTTGTACATAGTTTGTTAAGGTAACTTTTGTCAGTATTACAGCTGTAAATGGTGCATTTTTGCATTGTATTTTTAAGTGAATATCATAATCATTAATTTTTGTACTTTTTTGTATGGCAATCTTAACTCTCATTTATTTTAAATATTTTATTGATTTTCTTATGGTTGTCTAACTAGGAGTCATATTACCTACAAACTGCCTTCTAATTTCCAATGATTTTTACCTCTTAGTTTAACATTTCATTGACTTTCCTCATTTTGATACTGTACTGTCATTATATAAGAATTTGTCATCGTGGGAAGGTCGTCATATCTTTATTTTGCAATTTTCTGCTAATCTATAATTATTTAAAACTAGAAAGTTTAAAAAACTGCATTGGCTAAGAAATTCTCATTGTTAAATAGTCATCAAGGTGGATAACCCTTACCTCTGATTTTAACAAAAGATTCCTCTGGTTTACTCCTGTGTTATTTACAGAAATCTTTTAAAGTAAGAACCTACACTAGTAGTGCTTAGTTTGTATTTTTTAAAAATCAGAATATATTTTCCAGTAAATACTAACTTACTGTTTCATTGACTGACCTGCTAATAGGAACAAATTATTTTCTTAATAGCTTTATTAATATTTCCCAATAATTAGTTGTTGAGTTCCTGACATAAACCTTACTTGATCATGGTAGACAATTCACTTAACATGCTATTAATTCAGAATTCAGTTTGCTTAGCATTCCCTTTAATTCTTTTGTACATATATTCATAAGTAAGACTGGTTTGTAGTTTTGTATGTATGAGCTATCAGGTTTAAGTTATTAGAAATATGCTAAGGTTCATAAAATAAACCAGGTAACTTCCTTTTTCCTATGTTCTCATGCAGATGAGAAAGCATGAGAATTACTTCCTCAAAAGCTTAAAAGTTTCAACTAGAATAGATAACAAGAGTGGAAAACTATAAACTCAGAGACAAGGCTATTAGGGCCTTTCTTGTCTCCCTGCAGTCCATAGGAAGCATTAATTTTCTTTTATTATATTTTTATTTACTGCTTCTACTCTGTTCAATTTTCTCCACTAGAAATATCTCTAATCATTTGCAGGCTATGCCTTTTTTCTTTGCCTTCCATATTTACCACTATAGTTCTTACAATTTTCCTCTCTCTGCTCTTTTATTCTGCATTTTAAGTTTTTATGTTCATATGCTGCATCAAACTCAATTTTCTACAGTGAAAAATATTTTCCCTCTACATGCTGAAATATGAAATCAAACAGCAATGTCTCCCTACTTTCCTACAAAGTTAAATGGCCTGTAACCAGGTAGTTCCTAGGGAGTAAGCGCATGGGACAACTTACAGAATAAGCAACTTCTTGCTTGGCAATCTTCAGTTGTACTTTTCAAAACAAATAGGACTTACAATAGACTCCAAGTCCACCTCCAAACAAGTTATTTCACATTTTTGAGCCTCTATGTCCACATCCATAAAACAGGAATAGCATCCCTTGTCTTGTAAATTTTTTTGTTTTCCAAGAGACAGGGTCTCACTCTGTCAACCACACTGGAGTGGAGTGGAGTGACCATAACTCACTGTAACCTGGAACTCTTGGGCTCAAGCAATCCTCATGCCTCAGACTCCTGAGACACTAGGACTATACGCATGCCACCACACCCAACTAATTTTTAAAAACAATTTTTTTGTAGAGATGGGATCTCGCTATGTTGCCCAGGCTGGTCTTGAACTCCTGGTTTCAAGTGATCCTCCTGCCTTGGCCTCCCAAAGTGCTGGATTATAGGCATGAGCCACTGCACCTGGCTGTAAAATTGTTTGAAGGCTAATGGAATTAAGAATAATGGCAATATTATAGCCTGGCTTACTTTGTGCTAAATACTATACCAAGTATCTTCCACAAGTTAACACATTTAATCTTCACATGATCAATGAGATGAACACTTTTATCATCCTCACTTTACAGATGATGAGGAACTAAGACAAGGTAACTAACTGACCAAAGACCACCTAGCTGGCAAGCAGTGATTCCAGGACATAAAGCCAGATAGTTTGATCTCACAAACTGGACAACTTAAGAAGTGCTTGGCTTACAAATACTACAGTATTAACTTCATTCCTTTTTAAACGTGGCATGAAAGAGCAAAGTAAATTGCAGCTTATATTTTTAGTAATAACACTTACTAAGGGAAGATTTTTAACATTCTTTTTCTAATTACGTATAGATTTCATTTATCTGTATAATATGGGTCCTGCGTTATCTAGGAAAATTCAAAGTTAGATGTATTATCAAAGTAGTCCCCGCAGACAGAAGAACTCTGAATGCATTCATGGGGTGACCTATCCTGTACCACAAACTATAACCTACAGCAGCACAAAGTTTCATTTATTTGTATGCAGGGTAAAATTTTAACCAGTTTTTTTTTTTTTTTTTAATTTGCTTCTATCCTCATAAAAATATTTTAGTTCTTGTCAGCTGCACATTAACTTGTGAATATATTTATTCATAAAAGTTCACGAAAATTACCTTCAATGCTTCTAAGGACAAAAATCCAAAGTGTGAGAGGAAAAGGCGGGCTGTCTGGAATTCCTGGGCAGGAGGCGGTGGCTTGCAATCCGTAACTGGGTCAGGAAAACTTCTCTTCTGCAATTCCTCCTCACTCTGTTGCTCAAGGTGTATTTCATAAGCAATCTGCTGGGCCATGCCACTCCTTAATTTTTCATGTCTTTCTTCTAACTGAAATAAACCAGATGTTTCATTTTTTGAAACTATTATCAAACTAACAAGGCCAATCTTAACTTTTTTTATTTTTGAGACAGGGGTCTCTCTCTGTTGACCAAGCTGTTCTTGAACTCCTGGGCTCAAGTGATCCTCCTGCCTAAGGCTCCCAAAGTGCTAAGATTACAGGCATGAGCCCCAATGCACCTAAGTCAATCTTAATTTTAAAATAAAAATAAAGGTACAAGCAAAAAAGAAATTGAAGATAATTTTCAGTGATGAATATTGTGACTCAGTTCAATATAGAGTATACAATTAAGCAAACATGGTTCAAGGTTAAAACAAATGCCAAAAGAACTTCCCTATACCATCAACAATTGCTCTTTCATGTCTTCACTGTAAATGAAAACATTCAGTCTCTGTTCCCCTTCAAATAGGCAAGAAAGGGGGCAGGGGCAGAGCTGTTGCTCCCACCCCTCCCTTCCAGATCACTGTCCATCTTTATTCACCCTGACATGCTCTTTACGTTTTGAAATCCTCTTCCATATGGATGACATAACTGTACTCTTAGAGACTCCTCCCACCTTTCCTCTTTTCCTTCCATCAATCCTTGTTTAAAATTCCATCCCCTGATGAGTGATGATCCTTCTAACAACCTGGCTCAGAATTCTACAAGCTCCTTAGCCTTCACAACTTTGGCCATCCATGAAAACAAACTTGAATCTGAGCTGTGCTCTGCTTTCCAGGGCTGTAAGTCTGAAATTCACTCTCCAATCATAAGTGCCCTTGTGCGGCTCCTATCCCTTCCCTCCCTAAGCTAGTGCTCTACCGTCACTATGGCCCACTCAACCTCTCCCCCTGCTTTCCCAACCCATTAGCAACCTTCTGGCTTCATCTACTTCCCAACTAAGCCAAAGCCCCCCATATCTAACAGCTAAATACCCTCTCCTTCAGCACATTAAATGGCTGTGTTGAACCTTCTCCTTCCAAACGTCCATATCTGTGAATCTCCACACTAAATTCTTTACTTATGCTCCCAGATCCCAAGGACTTTTGAAGAAAGCCAGCAGAGTGAGTTAACTTCACTATAGACACTATACTTAACCTCGGCTGGACTGCCCGGTAATTCTTAAGAATTGTCTTGGATCCCCTATTACACTACCAAGAACCAGAATTACAATTTTCATAAGATTCTTCAATTACCCTCCTTTCCTCTCTAAATGTCTCTAAACCTTCACCTACTCTCTCCTTCTGTCTTAGAAGTTCCTTTCTCTAGACTAGACTTGATCCTACTGCCTCTATTACTTGTAAGTTCCACTGCCCATCTTACAGTGTTAGCCAGACCCCTCTCTACTGGTTCCTTCCTTTCAAGCTATAAGCATGTTCATATTCTCATCCTTGAATGTAAAAAAATATTAAAAACTAGCCTTTTCTGGCCAGGTTTGATAGCTCACGCCTATAATCTCAGCACTTTGGGAGGCCAAGGCGGGCGGATCGCCTCAGCCAGGCATGGTGGCGGGCGCCTGTAATCCCAGCTACTTGAGAGGCTGAGGCAGAAGAATTGCTTAAATCTGGGAGGCAGAGGTTGCAGTGAGCCAAAAACGCCCAGTTACACTCCGGCCTAGACAACAATATCGAAACTCTGTCTCAAAAAAAAAAAAACAACAAAAAAAACTAGCCTTTCTTTCCTTAATGAGGCCATTTCCTCAAGCTATAATATTACCCATTACCCTTCCCTTTACTGTTAACAGTATAGTTTCTATTCACTGCCTGTCCCTCAATACATTCACTCTCCAGTCCTTTGAACTCTGCCTCCTACTATACACACCTGTTCTCAAAGGTCACCTACAATTTCATGCCAAAATCCAGGGGACTTTTTCTATTCCTTCTTCTCCCTGATCTCTCCAGCACTGGAGTGTGGCCCTTCCTCCATTCCTGCTCTTCTATTCTCTCATGTCCTGACATACCTCTGTCCTCAACTTCTTAAAATTCTTCTCCCCTGACCTAAGAGGCCAATTATCTAATTAACTCTCTAAATTAATCTAAAGACAAATAAATTTTTCCCATCTTCCCCAAACTATCCTCTTCCTAATGTCTATATTTCTGTAAATGGCACTGATATCTCTTTGTCACTCAAGCTCAAAATCTAAAATTCTTTGGCTCTTTTCCTTCCCTCATCAATTCAAGAGTGCTTGGATCTATCTCCACAATACATTTTATATATTAAACTTTCATATCAGTGAAACAGTCCTTCCTTTCTTATAAGGACTTGGATTGTCATAATAGTCTCTGAACTGGTCTTCCTTCACCAAATAACTATACTACCAGAGTCTGATCATGTCACTGCTTTACTGAAACCTACCATGAACAGCCAGGCAGCCCAGTGACACCTCTCTCTAAGAGATGTGCAGTTCCTTTTGATCAGCCGCAATCTGTATTTGTCTGAAATATGGTAACCTCCTGGATGACAGAGACCCTTGTCATCTTAAGAATCAACAACACTGGCCGGGCGTGGTGGCTCAAGCCTGTAATCCCAGCACTTTGGGAGGCTGAGGCGGGTGGATCACAAGGTCAAGAGATCGAGACCATCCTGGTCAACATGGTGAAACCCCGTCTCTACTAAA